TTCACCAGAGACAGAACAGGCCGACAAAAGAAGTACACTGCTGAGGGGAGCAGCAGGTGGGTCAGGAGAGGTCAGCTGCGCCATGTGGGTCACCTCCGGGGCGGGGATCAAACTCATGCTGAAGTGGCTTTAGCTTCTTAGTGCTGTGCTTTAACCTGCCGTACCACCAGGGAGGGCCTGTTTCTAGTCTTTTGACACGAACCATCCTCACTGTATGAAATGGCATCTCATTGTGGGTTTCACCTTTCATGGGTGATGATGATAGGTACATTTTCATGTGTCTTTTACACATTTGCCCTCTATCTTCTTTGGAAAAATATATATTTAGATCTTCTCTCCATTATTTGATTTGGGTTATTTGTTTTCTTGTGGTTGAATTGTATGAGTTCTGCTTAAACCTTAGATATGAGTCCTTTGTTGGATGTATGACATGTAAATATTTTCTACGACTTAGTAGTGTGAACTTTTGTTTTCATGACAGTTTTTTTTTTTTTCTGTGCAGAAGCTTTTTAGTTTGGGGTAGTCCCATTTACTTAGTTTTGCTTTTGTTTCCCTCACCATTGTAGTTAAGTCCCCAAAAACATCACTGAGGCCAAAATTGTGGAGTTTTTTCCCTTGTACTTTATGGTTTCTGGTCTTACATCCAAGTCTTTCATTCATTTTGAATTAATTTTTGTATTTGGTGTGGGATAGTGGCCTAGTTTCATTCTTTTGCATACGACAGTCCAGTTCTAATAACATTGATGGATAAGACTTCTTTCTCCGTTGCATGCTCTTGACTCTTGGTGGGTTTATTTCTGGGCTCTCAGTTCTATTCCATTGATCTGCATTTCTGTTTTAATTTCAATCAATGTTTTGATTACTATAGCTTTATAGTGTAGTTTGAGGTCTAAGAGTATAATACCTTTATTTTCTTTTATGTCAGGATTACTTTGGCTCTTTGGGGACTTTTGTGGTAGAACCAGACTTTTTACTTCCTCCAGGCTACTTTTCTGAGGAAGACTGCTGGGTATTCTCAAATCCAAGACACAGAAATGCACCTGACCCAGTTCTAGGAATAGGTCTTAGAATGGAATGCAGGTATGGGTTTGGAGTACAACTTTTGGGGTGCAATGATGACTATACATTAGCCCCACTTGACTGTTAGTGATCGTCTGAGGGTTCCAGCAGGAAGTAGGGAGCGTTTGAAATAAACACAGATCTGCCTGGCACATAGTAGGAAATTGGTAGTTACTTCTTGCGTAATAACAGCACTGGAAACAATCAATAGTTGACTTGGATTCACAGAAAGACCAGACCTGCCCTATCCTGCTTGAGAAAACCAAATTGGTTCTATTTCTCTAAATCCTTCTGACTCATGTCAGCACTGTGGGAGACTGGCAGAGGTACAGCCTCGCAGTCTCCCAAGTGTAGGTGAAGATCAAAAGAGGAAAGGTCCCTTTAGAAAATCTGGGAGCTCCTCTCTTGACCCTAGAGGCTGAAAAAATTCTATATCCATGATTGGTCTGAGCATGTGCTGGAACCAGTTTGTCTGGCCAAGCCTTATCACTTCTTGTGTGAAACAAAGCACAAGACCCCACAGGGAGGGGAACATAGGTCACCTCTGGCATAATTGGTCTTCACTTACCACCTTTGCCTCCCTGGCTTGGCACAGAATCTAAAGATCCTGATCTAAAGATATTCTTGGTAAAACTATCCTTATTCTCTGATAACTCAGAGCTGTGGGATTGGTGTAAGGGTTGGATGCCCAGAAGTTTCTGGAAGGTAGGCTAACAGATCTCCGTGGGCTAATCCTGCAGAGGTCTAATTATGAGTGGCTAAGTCTTGAGGTTCAAGGCTGGTTTGCATCCAGGCTTTTCCAGATTTGCCTGTGTGGTGTTTGCTGAGCCATGTGCATTCAGAGAACCCCACAGTGCGTGTGGATCACAGCACCATCTTAGATCCCACAGCTGGCAAAACTTGATGCCTTTTAAAGAGTCTCATGCTGCTGGCAAAGCCTGGCACACTTTTGTAGAACTCTGCAGCTTCCCAGGCCCACGATGTTTGACCAGTCCTAGGTCTGGTGCTGAACATAATATTGTTCATAAAACCCCAGAGCCATTTGTGGAAACCGCTCCCTCTTTATATCAACCCATGTAGGGAAATGCTTTTTGCAAATCCTGCAAAATGGAAGACTCTTTTCATAGAACATTCTGAATTTGAATACAAGGAGAGAGTTCTGGGCTCCAGGTTAGAGACCTAATTTCTCTTTTATTACCTTGTTGTAGGACATTGAGAAAGTCCCTTTCTCCGGGTCTCATTTTCCATCTGTTAATGGAGGTTCTGCTGGATGACCACCCACCTTGAAGACTGCCATGAAGAAAGCTGTGAGAATGTCCAGATGATGGGGGCAGTGTGGGTGCAAGGGGGAAGAGTGGTCAGTGGTTCCTTCCTGAGAAGGGCTCCAAAGTGCCACCTCAGCACCTCTGTTCCAACTTCCCTCTGGCCAGGCAGCCAGAGAACGGATATCTATAAATGAGCCCTCAGTTGGGTACACAAGTAAGAGCATCAGTCAGAGCTTTAGCCTTCCCACCCCCCAGCTGCTACACGGCGGTCAGCCTCCAAGCTGTGCAGACATGTTCCCATGCACAGCTCATTAAGTCTGCCCCAGGAAGGTGATGTTATCGGTACTCACCCACGAGGACTCTGGCTCTTAGACAGGGTGTGTGACTTGCCCAAGGCTACTTGTCCAGAGAGGACAAGGACATCAAGGATGGGTCCAAGACACTCAGGAGATCAAAGTAAGAAGGAACTTGGAGTTCATTGAATTTAACTCTTCCCTTCAGATTGGGAGACTCAGGCTGGAGACTAAGGCCTGCTGTGTGGGGTCATGATCTATCCTCGGGATTCAGTTTCCATAAGTAGATGGTGAGAAGCAGACTACATCCTGCCAAGGGCTCAAGACTTTCTTCGCTCTCTGTGGGCAT